CCCTGCCCAGCCCCTCCTTAAGGCCATAATATGCAGAGTTTCCTCTGGCTGAGCAGGAGGGAGGCTGTGTTTGTGCACCAGCCACAAGCCTACAGGCCTAGCTCTGAGCTGAGACTCCTCTGCTCTGTCATATGATTTCTTATTAAAAAAAAAATAGGTCTAGAGTGGAGGGTGCAATGGATCATCAATATCGAAGCAGGCAAGTTAATGCTAGCACTGACGAGCTCTAAGGGGCCTGAAAGCAAATGATTCTTTGAAATTGCACTGTTAAAGTTGTAATGGTTTTTCTTGGTGGTTTTTTCTTTTTTTTCTTTTTTTTTACAGTTTTTTTAAAATTAAAAATACTTCATTTTAAGATGCATAAAGTTATGTTTGTGACACTTATTATATGGTATATATTTTCTTTTTATAATTTGCTTCAGTTATAATGCTGTGGAGGCTAATAGGATATGTGAAAAGTTAGAATAAAGAAGCAGCGTTCATAGAAAAATACTTTACTTAGAAAATTCTGGTTTGCCTTACATAGCAGAATTAAAATTTCATCCTTGTGGAAGGAAATCTCTACTTCTTGAACTTGGACCTTTAGGAGGACTTCTTGTCCAAATAAACAGCAAAGCTACAGAGAATTCTCATTGTTAAGAGCCRCTTTGAGACAGTTTCCCTCACCTCTGCAGAGCCTTTAGAAAGGTAATTGGACAGATGGATGTGCTGGATTGGCACTGTAAGTGTCTTTGCTCTGAGAATAGTATCAATAGCTATTAATAACTTGGAAAGGCTCTCCAGATAAATTAGTGAGCAGCAACCTTATAGCTGAGGAATGCATACGCTGTTAAGCTAAAACCAGAAGCTTATGAAGTATTGTTTTTAACTAAAATATCGGTGCAGGGAATTTCCAAAGCAGCTGTGTATTTTAGTTATTCTCTCTGGAACTGATATTCCTGGGTTCAGGAATTCAGGATTCCCCGGGTTCAGGAATTCACACTGGGAATGCATGAGGAACGGCGCTTGGGTTTGCTTGAAGTTTGTGCTCAGCGAGGAAAGAAAATTGATTCTGCTCTCTCTAATGAACAGGAAACTTAATAAGCTCAAATTCTCAATCTAGTGGTAAGAAAATGCTGAACTACTGTCAAAAGAAGTATTTTTGCATTAATACACTTGCAGTGTTTCGTGGGAATCTTTTAGGATTTAATCTTTAGATTGTCCGAAGTGCAGATTTATTCAATTCCATTCTTTTTCTTCTTCCGTGTTCCAGTATAGGTTTTGTGGATTAGTTATATCTCTTTGGCCATTACTAGGTATTTTATTCTTATTTAGATCTTTTTAGTGGCACTGCTTTTTCTCTTGCTCTAACAGCCAAAGTGAGAGGGCTTAATTTGCGTGTTTTCCATTAATTCCAGCACACAATAAGGAATTAAATTCCACAAGACAAGTACCAGAGCAATTGCACTTACGTGTGTTCCCTTGTTTCTTATCTTGGCTTTGCAGTTTGAAAACTTACATGCACAAAACCACAGGTAAACTTTATATAAGGGAAGAATGTGAAATCTTGATATACAGAAAAATAGTTTTCCAGCAGAAACATGTTAGCAGATGTCTTATTTTATTCTGGATCTTTATTTACAATGAAATGCAGCTTTAATTTTTTATTCTAAATCTTCTCCTGCCTCACAAAAAGCACCGTTCCTGTGCTGTAACCTGTTCCACCATYGCAGTCGTTTTATTTGTGATCAAATTAGAATCTGGGTCTTAGGATTTGAAAGACGGACGCATTAATCCCCTGGAAGATTCAGTCACTCTCTGTCAGTTCTAATCARGTAAAAGCATTCCTCGTTTTGCTCCAAAGCAGTTGGAAGGATTTTTTTTTTAATTCAGGCAGTTTGCCTTTTTGCTTGCTGCTTATTTCATTTTCAAATAATTACCTGTTGCATGTGAATATTGCAGGATTCAAAACAAGCACRTGGCCCTTAAGCTACCTGTCCTCTCCAGTTTGCAGAAATCGCTTGTGGTCATCAGCACCAGCTAATAAGTAGGACACAAAAGCATGTGGGTTTGTTTTCCTAAGGATAGGATGCTTTTTGGGGAGTATGCTGGAAGGCTTGTCTCTTAAGCAGGTGACTTGAGTGAGTGAATGTATCTGGCTGGTTTTAAAGAGAGTTTATCTGAAAAGAGGCTGGAAACTGTGTCTGTGTGTAGCTGGGTGGGTGTTTTAAGGTAGAACTTGGCCAAACAGGCTTGTCTGAAATTAAGATGCTTTTGCAGCGGCTTCTGTGTAGCTATAAATGCACTGAGGTGGTTTAAAACTGAGCAAGTGGCTGTGTGTTGTTCTGGCAAGGTCTTATGAACAAATTTTTAAATCTCGAAGTTCCTAAGAATAATATAGCTTGTTTTCTATTGGCACTGTATCATTAAAAAAATAATCATATGTGGTCTCCTAAATGTCCTTAAAATAAGTGCACAATGTTGTTCATGATGAGCATAATAGGAATTACCAGCAACTTGGTTTTGTCTGTTAATATTCTTCCATTTGGCATGGCCAGGATTATTATAGAACAGCGTTGAGTGCTGTAGGACGGCGTGTGTCCTCCCACGTGGGCATGCGTTGTTCAAAGGGTGGTTATCCCAGGAGAGGCCAGGCCAATGAAATCCCAGTCCCTGCCTTTCTCCTGTTTGGTTCTGCAGTTCTGTGGTACCTGTTGAAAGTAGGCAGCAGAATGGAATAGAGATTTGATGAGGCACAAGGAGAAGCCCACATCAGCTGGGCTTTCGTAAAAGAGTGTTTTGTCCTCCCTTTCTCCCTTCACCCAAGGGAGTCCTCATCCTCCCTTTAGAAATCGGGAATACTTCTCTTTATCTCTCTTGCCCCCCAAAGAAATCTGGGATAGGTCAAGCTTTACTATTTTGGGCAGTGAATACGTAGCTCGTAGGTAGAACTCAGATCTTCTTTTGCCTTTTCAGTACTGTCATTTTAGCAGTCAGGACCKCCTGTAGGACTGGGTTGGAAAACAGGAGCCGGTTCTCCGAGGCATCCTCGCCCCTTTGTGTCGCAGAGAGAGGCTGCAGGAGCAACACTTGCCTGCCCTGCGCTTGCGTCTTGCCCCACTGCAGTGCAGAGTGAGATGCAGATTTGTTTGGAGCGTCTCACACASTGCTGTCCCCAGAGTGGTCTCTGATTTAAGAAGCAAACCTTTCGTTTCGCTTGGTAGGGATGAATCTTTGGTCATTAATTCATGCCTTGCAGAARGTGAGGGTCTGCTTTTCTTCTGTGTTTTGTTGTTGTTTTTTAATCATGTGACCTGTTAAATTTGGATTGATAGAGAAATTGCTACAAGCCATTCAGGAACTTAAGTGCAAGCTGGACAGTAATGTGATAACTGCAGCAGAGCCATGGATCCCTGGCAGCCAAAGAGGTCTGGAAAGTGGGGCTGCCCTGCAGTGCCCTAGGACTAGTACAAGGCAATKAATACCATGTTTTCCATGGAGTACCAGGTGTTGTAGAAACTTGCTGGGAAGAGTCTTCTGTGCAATGTGGTGATCAAACCCTGTGGCACTGACTGAAAGCAAGTGGAGCTTGTGCCGTGGAGGTCATCTCTGCAGATCACGGTGTATAGGAATTATTGCAAATGCAGAGAGTCTTAGGAAATCTGCTCTTAAAATTAGGTCCTGATTCCTCTTCTAACTTGTCTAAATAGGTAAGTTGGGAATTAGAAAATTACGCTGTAGTTTTCTTGTCTGTCTTTGGGTCACCGTGAAGAAGAGTTGAACTGCGCTGCTGTCTGCGGGTTTGCCCACGAGCAGCTGAAGGTGTTTYAGATGTCCGGGCTCCTGGAGGGGCACTCTGCTCTTAATTCCATCTAAATTCCAGTTGGTTGAAGCATCTGGAGTTGCTCAGATATCCAATTAGATATTTTGGAGATGTGCAGAGCATTGATAATTATGGGTTTATTACATTTTGTCTGTTAGTGTGACTAGAGATTAACCTGCATATGCAAGGGGAAGAACTGCTGAGTAAGGAGGCCTCACTTCATGCAATCTCCTTCCCCCGTAGCAGATCCATCTTCTAATCCTAGATGCCACGAATTCCTTTGGCTAAGAGTACTTTTTTGACACACGTTCAGCACTTAATAATAGTAAATTCTGGGCCCTAGGGTATGTGGAAGTCTAGATCCCTTGAGTGACTAAAGGAGACTGTAAATAAAACTTTGGTCTCCCAAATGTCAGCAGAGAATACTCTAACTAAAGCCATCCCTTTAAATTGTTTTATTTAATAGATTTCTAGTAACCTTGTCACTCTTTTCTCTGAAGTATGTGAGACTGACACACATCAAGTAGCAAAGACACTTATCTGTCATATAACCTGTGTAAAATTAGTTGGAGGCAGTTTGATACCTAACTTTAAACTAACAAAACTATTAACTTTTTAATTATTATTTTGCTGGATTTCTGTATTTTCCGCTTGCAGTACTGTTGAGCAGTTGATTATGTTGCTGCTCTGGTCACTGCTCATCATGAAACTTCTGCAGGTGGGATGGGTGAGGGAGGGTTGTATTGGGCTCAGGATTTATTTTATTTTATTTTATTTTATTTTATTTTATTTTATTTTATTTTATTTTATTTTATTTTATTTTATTTTATTTTATTTTATTNTTTATTTTATTTTATTTTATTTTATTTTATTTTATTTTATTTTATTTTATTTTATTTTATTTTATTTTATTTTATTTTATTTTATTGTTTTGGCTTGTAGAACTAGACAACATAAATTATTTAACATAGTGAATCTCTATGTGAGAGGTGGGTTTTTATGAGGGTTTTTTTTTTTTTTTGACTATTTATTTCCTTTAATTTTCCTAGTAGAGACATAATGTGCTTTTTCTTTCTATCTAGTTCAGCTGCTCCAGGAGACAAGAGGGCTTGGCAAACAAAATCCCTAAAGTAAGGGTGAAATAACTGTAGCCTTGATACCTTTTGTGATTCCTTTTGTCTGCCTCTTTCCCCCTCAGACAAACGTGTTGATGACTGGCCCTTGATGCACTCTCCCTTTCCAACACTGACTATAAGCACTATTTATCTCCTCACCGTCTGGCTGGGCCCCAAATGGATGAAGACAAGAGAGCCCTTCCAGTTACGTTTCCTGTTGGTTGTTTACAACTTCGGCATGGTTCTACTCAATTTCTTCATTTTCAAAGAGGTACGTATGCCCTCCCTCAAGAGGGGAGCCCTGTTTGAGTTTGAGATGGTAGAGGGATTGAAAACTGAATAGGACTTTATATAGTCAAGGTGCATCTGTTGAAGATAAAGGTCTTGTGCAGACCTTTAAGGCTGCATTTGCCTTTCATGTGAGTGTTTTTATAGCTAGATATCATTTACCGGTGAACACACATGCTAAATTAGTACACATAGCTAGCAGTATGTGCTAGCATGTACTAGCTAATTCAGGTTCTTCTTAGATTTATGTTAGTGTAAAGATTAGAGAGATTAACTAAAAATCAGTAGAGGTTTAACACTTCTGATATATATCTGATATATATATATATATTAATTTTTAATTATCCTAATTAGCAGGATGTGTCTAACTGCTAATTAGCAGGTAGCAGGATGTGTCTAACTGCAAATTAAGTTGTTGCCTTCAATATTTTTATCACTTCTAGCATTTTTTAGCAATTCATCCATAGTATGCTTTGCAGAGAAATATCCTGCCTGGAAGTTTGCTTTTTAGAGTAAGAATGCAGGAAAGGTTGCAGTGTTCAGATACTGAGTTTGTAAAATTCTAATTTGTAAAATTCTAGTAACAAGTTCTTAAGAACTGCTGTGTTTTTCCTTCCTTAGATTTCCTGCACAGAGGAAACCGCTCCTTAGCAGCAGCTGAGCGGGACTGAGAGTTCCCACATGGTGGCTGAGAATGTAGCTGTTGCTCAGGAGCAGTTTCATTTTGCAGGGACTTGGCTCATGTGGATTGAGGGTCGCCCTTCTGGAAGACCTTAGATCTTACATTGACAAAACCCATTCCCAGGAGCAAGCAAGGAAACTGTGCAGTTAAAATGACAGCTTTGCGGAGTTCTTTTCTTGGCAATCTGTTCTGTACTCCTGCCCCCAAAGCARGTAGCATATCTGACAATTTTCTGCATATGAGCCACTTCCCAGAGCTTCTATAACAATATTGCTCACTGCTTTAAGCCTCTTTCTAGGCATTGTTCAGCAAAGCTAATTTTACCCCTTGCCTCTCAGTTGCCATTATCTCTAAACTGACTCACCACTCAGACTGAAATATTTTATGTCTTCCATAGTGTGCAGCTCCAGTGATGGCAGCACTGGTATGAGGGTTCAGTTTTGCAGAGTGTTTCCTAGTACGCATCACATCAAACTGCTTTCATCCAGTTCAGGCTCTGCTGTGTCCATGGATTTGTTCGTGGGTGGTAATAGTTAGGAAGGTTCAGAGATCTTCAGAGTCTTATGATACCGTACAGATCGATGAAAGCTTGGGGAAAAAAAAAAAAAAAAGAAGAAGAAGAAGAAATGAGGAATTATGTGTCATATAACATCATCTAGACCATAATCTAGCAGGGACATAGTTGTTTCCACTGGCATTTCTGAAGTTTAACACTAGTCTTCAGTTTACTTGGTGTTACGGTCACACTTCTTCCTTTGTGAAACCTGTTTTTTCTCTTTGCTCCTATATTTAGTAGGCAGAAGTCCTGAGCGTTCACATTCCTGATCCCTCCTTTAAGGAGCATTCACAAAAGGGTTTTCTTATTTTGCTGCTTTTCTGAAGTTAAGAGTTGCCCTGTGCTCATGGGAACTGAGGCTGATTGCTCTCCCACTGCACCAGTCTTAGCTTCAGAAGCGATCTAGTTCTTTTGGTGTCTTAATCTCATGTTAAAAAGCTACCCTGATAAATAGTCTAAATCTAGGAAAATAAATTACAAGCACAACAGAATTTCATGTTGACACCAAAAACTAATTGTGAGAATCATGAAATCCAATCATTTTGGCAGATTAAAACAGAAAATCCCCTAAGAAGAGTTCCGTGGGTTTTGCAGTGTCCATCTCTCTTCATTTATTTTCTTCAATCAAATTGTATTTTGTCTATGAGCTGAATTGTCGCAGACATGAAGTGAGTTGGTGTCCAAACCTCGTTTGCTTACACAGACATATGCACGTTTGCACAAGCACATTTGCACAGCACATTTGCACAGCCTTTCCCAGCCACTGGAGTCGCGTGTGGATCAGCAGGACTGGGGCACTCGGAACGCTTCAGGTGCAAAYGTGTTTGCTGTGCATGGGCTGGAAGCTAATGGTTTGAGTTATAGGCAGTTATTTTTCTWTTTTATAAAGAAGCACTAGGCTTTACAGGTTTGTATTTTAGTTGTATCTGTATACTTTACATCTGTACTCTTAGTGCTGTGTGCAAGATAGATGCAGAAGCAAGCAGGAGTTCAGCCTAAAAGAGAATAGTGAAATTTGGGGTAAGAGTAGTCAGTGGCTGCCTGCCGTTAGCTTGAAGATTTGCCCATATACCCCTTTACAGCTTGACTGTTCACAGGTTATACTGGCTCCGCTGCTATATTTTGGTCCTCAACAGGGTGAGATTATGTAGCTATGTGCCATTTGGTTCACAAAATTCAGGAATGTCAATATGAAAAGCRTTGCCTTAACCTTGTACACCCATGGTCTCTAAACAAGTGTTTTTCTTTTCAAGGGAAACTTGCTCAAATTTCAAGTTCATTTTTTCTAGTTCAGGTTATTGCAACAAGCTTTATTTGAAGTAGCCCACCAGGAGCATTTCATATTCCTCAGGTCACCTCTGTCTGCACAAAAATGTATCATTTTTCTTCATCTAAATTCTATTAACCTGTTTCATGGTTATCAGCACTAGCTGTTAGGATGTTTTTTTCCTGTGCTAGGTTGTTATATTGTTGTAAGAATGGTAGGTCTAAATTATCCTTATATATGGGACAGAGAGAGATCTCTCTCATCCATTATTGGAWTTCTTCTGCCATTATTAGTGAACACATCTGGGTGATTTCTGTCTGTGAAGCTAGAGACATTTAAGAGAAGATTGATGCTAGCTGCGGAATAGCATAAGGTCATCYTGAGTTCTTAGTCATTTACACAGACTTCTAATTATCTGGGCAAATATATGCAGGAGACATAAGTGTCCTTTTGTGTGTCTGTATGTGTGTTTTTACCTTAGAAGGAAAAAATAGGCACTGTCTAATAATACCTTTTTGGAACTAAATGTTGTCTTTATTCAATAGTAGTCTTGGAACCCGTAAGGATATTTAGAATTGTTTTTAATCAGGTAACTTTGATAAAGATGTGTACTGATACTTGTTTTAAATAGGCTTTATGCAGCATCTTTCCCCTCACCTATGGCTTTAATATTTTCAGCTGTTTTTGTCGTCAAGAGCTCGAGGGTACAGCTATGTCTGCCAGACTGTGGATTATTCAGACAATGTTTATGAAGTTAGGGTGAGTATTTCCCATTTACATAAAGGTTTACGTAATATATAGTATTATGTTGCAGTTTGTCTTGTCTGAAAACTGTTTTTTCAGAGTTCTTCTGTCAACCATGACTATAAGTCTCCTTCTTTGGAGATCTTTAAAACCCKCTTGGATGCAGCCCTGTGCCACGTGCTCTAGGTGACCCTGCGTGAGCAGGGGGGTTGGACTCGATGACCTCTGAGGTCCCTTCCAACCTTYGGCATTCTATGATTCTAKGATTCTAATCCGTTATATTTGGACAGATTGCTTTTGGTTTCACTGCGTTACACATAGCACTTTATTTGCAATGCATCAGGTATTTGCCTTAACTTTCATCTAACCGGTACAAATAAGATTAATCCTGAAGATACCATCCTGGGCTTCACGGGAGGTGGTACAAGCCGTGATAAACTGTGCATGCACACTGTGATTGCTGAAGTTCGTGCTCCACTGTAACCACAGCAAAGGGGTAGTGCTGGAGCTAGATCAAAGCGGGTGAGATAGGCCAGCTTAGGCCATGATTGCACTTCAGTCCCACTGATGGGGCAGCTTTTGGTCCCCTTTACCCCTGCTTGGCTTGGTGAGCTCCTCCTGGCATCTGGCAAAGGTATTATGAGCTCATGCATTGCAGAAGCTTAGGTTTCAGATGTGTGTTTTTTGGAAGGCGTTCAGTTTGGATCAAAGAGCCAAAGGTTGGTACCTTCCGCGATAGTGTTGGCTGGCTCGTGTGCTGAGCCTTATCTTCCCACAGAGCTGACACGGGAGAATCTTGCAGCTCTTCTTGCAAGCTTTGTCCTCTACAGATTAGAACATGTTCCTGAAAGTGTTACTCTGAGAATGTGTTATGTTCCTAATATGTATAATGCTTGTAATACACTTTGAAAAACGCCCGTCTTGGCAAGGTGGCTGTTTGTGGGTAGATTATCCAAAGGCCTCTGCAAGTGACAGCAGGGTAGTGAGAAGGATCATCCTGCTTCTTACACCATTTATGCAGAGGCTGGTGCTGCAAAAGTGATGACTCTATGCATGCCTTTCTTTTTAGCACTATGGCTACCCGTTTTTCAGCATTGCCACTATTTCATTCACTGGCTTCTATTAATAGTTTTATTTAAGAAGAAAAACTGGCTAATTTAGAAATGCTTCACAGTTTTTTAATGTGTGAGAAAAATATCCTTATGCACAACTAGATGATATTGAGAAGTGGCATGACAGACACAGGATGCGTTTTAATCATAGCTAAGTACAAAGGTGCATATCCAGGTGTCTAATGACACATTGTATGCATGCAACCAGCCCAGTCTGCATGGAAACTTGACTGAAGATTTGCTTAGTGCTAAGTTCTCTACTTCACACCTTAATTTTAGATGCACTTGCTTTTGCAAGGCTGTGCACAGGTCAGACCAGCTCAACACAATTGTCTTCCATTGATCACTGTGACAAACAAAGGATGGTTATATGAATGACAGCAAAACAACCTGCACCATGTATTTGTGTGATGTGTCTGGAAAAGGCAGTGTCAGTATCAGCAAAGAGCAGGATCAGCTCTTTGCATTTCCTGACTTTCTAAGCTCTCTACAGACTTATGCATTTACGTAAAATTTATTTCTAAAGTTGTAGACTGTAATGTGCAATGTGTGATTGAATTAGGAAAGCAATACAATTTGTGTTCTGTGAAGTTGTTACAAGAAATGATTAGTTGACAACAAGTAGAAAACAAGTGGCAAGCTACACTTTCCCCAGTGAGCGTGGTTCTCTTGTCTAACCAAGGAGTCGGAGAGAAGTTTCTGGCCTGCGTTACAGTAAGTCCCACTCTGTGTTCACTCTGTGTTTTTGACACMGTAGGGTGTTTTTAAAAACTTAAGGTTCTATTTGTCATCACTTAAAGTAAACCTGAAAAAGCAACTCTTAATGTGTCTAAATATGGGCTCCTCCTTTAATTTCAAGCTGACATCTAGTCAGTTTTGCATCACATCTCTGACAAGCTCTGACAGTAGATTTACATAGTAAATATCCAGTGTCTATTGACACCAGGATTCCTCTGAAGAGGGATTTTGCTCTGCAATAACAGAATTACGTATAAATAGCTTTAATTGTAAGAAAATGAGTAAATGAGTCCAGCATTATTCAGGTAAAGGTGGCTAGCACTGACTCAAAAGGGAACAGCACTGAGCCCAGAAAGCATTATAGAATGTGATCTGAAAAGCAACACCTAATGTTTGACTTCATTATTTGGCTTAGAAAGCTAGAACAAAAATAATGGGGGATAAATCATGTGAAATGTGACACAAAYCACATGTAATGGTGTAAAGCCACAGTTCTGCTTCTGCCTTTCCTTGGGAAAGTGCTACCATGGTCCTGCCAGAGAGTGGGATGCTTTGACCCATGTTCCTGTTCAAAATGAGATGTCACGAAGCCATCCCTTGTCCTTCAAGGAAAGAGAAGCTAAAGATTGACCATCTTGGGTGACAGAGTGTGTCTTTTTAGTCTTCTCCAACACGTTCTACCTCAGACAGCAGCCAGTAGGGATTTCAAGGGAACAGTGTAAAGAGAGGCACATTGAGCACTTGCTCTGCAACACCAGTGATCTGCAGTTTATATCGGGGATCTGGGTATATGTGACCTTCCCAATTGCTGGCAGGAAATTGAGGAGGATGTTTAATAACTGGCCATGAAAAGCTACGTAGAAAAGGAAGAGAAAAGGGAAAATCCCCAACAAGGACTTTTGAAGGAGATGGAGCTGCATCTTGGAGGGTCATTTTGCTTAATTCTAGGTGTCTATTTAGGAGTCAGAATAACCAACGCTTTGCTAAATGCAAGGTGCTAAATTCCATAACTCCTTTGGGAGCTCCCCTGTTTGGAATAAACAACTTCTAACAATGTCTAAATTCAGKTATTTAGTTTTATCATCTGTGAGTAGCCACTTGCCCCTCTCCTGACTTCTGTGTGTTCTTATTTCCCAGGACAAGACTCATCTATTACTAGCATTTTTGGAGAACTAAGAATTAGGAGTCTGGAGCTGTGGTGTGTTAGTTAGTTCCTACTTTTAAATGTGTCAGTGGTAATCRTAGAGCTGAACTGTGGTTGCCTCTGTTTAAATTTTAATCTGCTTTTACTTTTCCTGTTTGTGCTTCTGTCTGGAGCTTGAATAATTCCCTCTTAAGAAATAAACGCAATAATTAAGGCTATAAATTTGATCTTTGCAAATTTTCTTTACTCTTTCATGAAAGGAAAATTTGAGTTAACAAACTCCATGGCCTTATAAACTTTCTATAACTAGTTCCAYAGCTAAAACAAGGAAAAGAGAGATCTCTTTAAAAATCTCTGTTTCCTCTGTAATTTTTAATGTCATGATTACCTTGGGCAAGTACCCATCCCTTCAAACCTTCAGTGGATAATCAGCCCCAGCCCAAAATGAGGAAGGAGGCAGCAGGAGCCGGGTCGCGGGTTAAGGCAGGTGTCTGCCAGGAAGCCGGCAGCAGGCAGGGGTCCTAGGRGCGGACCCCTTGTTGACCCCTTAATCTTAGGCTGTAATGTAATCTTGGTGGGCCATCTGGTGCCTTTTGAAGGCCCGTGAAGGCCTATGGAGGCCTATGAATAGTCCCAGAAAAGGTGTAGCTTTGACCAGCAGTATAGACTTCATAAGGATCTATTATAATACACATTTTCTGTTAAGTTAAATCTTTCTTCCATGCCTTGCCCAAAGGAAGGCTATGATGAGGTCCCAGTTTTTGATGCTTTACAGAGCAAGTTTAATAGTGGCCATGTGCTCCTGGCCCAGTTTGGGCACCAGTTGCCTTGTTCGGCCTTATTTCTGTCCTCTGCCCCTGATGGCATGTGTAACCTTGGGCAAATGACTTAATATCTGTTTCATTTTTTTCTTTTTTCTATGTCAAATGATCAAAATTCCTACATAAGTCACTGGGAGCACTGACAGAAAGCAGTTCCTGCAACCTGTGATGAGAATAAACACAGGTAAAGCTGCATGAGGAGAGATCAAAAGAGCTTTCAGGCTCTGCAGGAACATAACAATAAGCAGGTATATTCCTGCTAACAGGTGRATGCTGCTTTTTTGTTCTGAAGTGATGGGAAGCACTTTAATCAGAAGTTCAGTTGATCTTAATCCACGAGTTGCAGCTGCTCTCACTGCGGGACGGGGAATTCAAAGGCAAGAACGAGGTGTGAGTGACTCACCGGCGCCTAGAGTGAGGCTGTAACGTTTTGGACATAGCGTACAAATTTTCTGTGGGATTTTCTCCGCTTGCATCTTGCTCTGTTGTTTAGTAAATTGGCAAGTACTGCTTATATTGTACTGTTTCTTGTTTTGTTATTAAACAAAATGTATATCAGCTTAACAAGAGCTTTTTGGGCAGTGTTTATCTGAGCTGTGGCTTCTTAACAAGCTTCTCAGAAGGTAGGATCCCCAAGGCACTTAATGCAGTAGTGCTGGCTTGTCCTTTTGTGAATAGAGGCCAAAGTGTTTATTGTTAACTCCTGAGATGAACAGATGTTTATCTTCYGTAATTTATTTAAAAGCTGCAGCTTAGCAAATATCTGTGACAGATGCTGGACTGTTAACGCTGATTGGTGAGTGTGAGGCAAAGCCTTGATGTGGGTGTTACTGAGCACATCGCTGTCTGTCCCGGGGGCAGGAGCGTACCGGGTATTGAGCAACAACGTACACACTGACAGTTGTTGCAGGTTGCCTGCATGTCTGGGAACCCCAAGATCTGTGGGAGTCGCTTCCCTGTCATCGAGCCACCCTCCCAATTTGACAGCTGAAACTCGCTGTTTATGACAGAAATAAAATGACACAATGGCAAAATCCGGAGAGCAAGAAGGATGTGTAGGAGGCTGCAGCTTGGCGAGCGGTGCAGGCCCTCTGGGAAGGTGCAGAGCCCGCAGTGCGCAACTGCAGCTCTGCTCTGCGCTGCCGCTGCTTGCTTGCTCCTGCCACCGTCTCCCAGAACGTTAAATCAGAGCATCACCGGATGGCTGAGGTGGGAACGGACCCCTAGAGCTGGTCTCTGCCCTGCACTCGGTCAGGGTGGCTGTGAATTACTGCGGGGAGGCACCGTGGCCCTCCGGCCGCGCTGCRGCGGTGCCCTGCTGTGCTCCTTCTCCATGGCCCCCTGTCCCGAGGGAGCGGGAACTCGCCCAGGAGCCTGCGCGCGTTCGGGAGACGAGGTCGCCGCTTCCTGACACTTCTCCCTTCCCTGGGGAATGAGGGAGGCGGTGGAGTCACCTTACACAACACGAAGGCAAATCTGCCTTGCCATCAGATGAGTCCTGAAAGACCAGGTCAACCTTTCTCTTGCTCAAATGGGTGTGTTGTGACASTGCCTGCTGTCCTCGCTGCCGGTGCCTTTTTCAGCGTTTTTTCGTTTTCACGTGTGAGTCACCACCTGGGCTACGTTCTGGTCCCACCCTTGCACAACAAGCTGGATGACTTACGATGCCAGCAGCTAGACTTGCTGCTCTGCTTTGGGATGCAGAAGGGAGTCTAGTCCCCCCGCCCTGTCACTATCCCCCATGTCCCAGTACTGGCAAACCACCGCATGGAGCTTCCATGCTTTCCCTGGCACAGCAGCATCCTGGTTCCRGCGGGAATCCGCACTGCCTGGGGCACCGTGGGCAGATTCCATGGTACTTGCTGGCCTGAGGGGAAGCTTGTTGTGTCACACTGCCTTGCTGTAGAGCTGGTCATTTCCATGGACCCTGGGCTCCGAGCATCTCCTGTAGTCTCATTTCTCCTGTTCCCAGAAGGGAAGCAGACTCTGGGAGGATGCTGTTTTTCAGACAGGTCTGCTGAGCAGGCCAGGAGAAGTTGAGGGGAGTATTGCCCCGTGGGTTGGGAAATCTGACTCACAGAATGAGCACCCAGCCTGCAGGATGAGCTGGGATCTTCCCACCCGTCACTTGTTAAATTCTTTTGATATTACACAAAATCACAGCCTCTGCAGTTTTGCTTTATCGTAATATTTCTGCCTCATTGCTGTTACCACAGAGGTACACAAGTCCCTTTAGGAGTGTTCTCCTGCCAGTCTTAGGGCAACAAATGAGAATTCAGGCTCCTTATGTTTAAATGGTAAACTGCTTAGAGACAGCAGAGCTTTTAATTATGTAAGTTCTTTTTATTTATTTTACAGTAGCATAAAATAAATAGCGTTATTTTACATTCTGTACCAACGATTCAGAATGCTACAACCCTCCTGTCCAGAACAGATAACTGTGGTATTCATATTATTACTACTCTAATACTACCCAGTGCTCCCTGATTCCACCTCATCATATGATGCCATTGACGAGGATTTGGGGAAGGAAGAGGCGTCCTTCTCTTGCAGCAGATAGCCAGGGTCAATTTTATTCCATTGCACTTACAATCATTAAAACTCTTTGTTTTTTATTACAGATAGCTGCTGCTTTATGGTGGTATTATGTCTCCAAAGGAATTGAATATTTGGATACAGTATTTTTCATCCTGAGGAAGAAATTTAACCAAATTAGTTTCCTTCATGTCTATCACCATTTCACCATGTTCACCCTGTGGTGGATTGGTATCAAGTGGGTTGCAGGTGGACAAGGTGAGTTCCACCCTAACCCCCACATAGACACATGCACCTTTTTGGGTGGACACAATGCACAATTATTATTTGGCATGAATAGAAAAGAGCTTTCATAGAATTAAGTGTGATGTATCAGACTGTTTAAAGAGCACTGAAATGGTGTGAAATATTTAATGTGTACAAATTACCTCTGTGGGAAATGTGGGGGAGKAAAAGGGAGCAGGGACATAGCCTAATGAATTGCAAAACTTTATTTTTCCCCTCCTCCTGGGCATCAGTTGCAGGCAGTTCTGCCTTCAGAATTATCCTCCTTCTGTATGAAATGCAGAACAAACTAACTGCAGTTTTTGCAGATACAGGGAAATGCAAAAATCTAATTATGGGCCATGATCTACATGCAAATGTAATAAAGTTAATGGAGATGATATTTGACATTATATCTGAGTTTGGGGTTTGCTGCTTTTTAATAGAGACATGTATGAAATTCTGAAACCTTCTCGTCATGGTGAGCCACTCAACCCATCGGTTGGCTTTTAAAAGCTATTCATGATGACACCAGTCTCTTATTAATGCTAACATATTTTTTTTTCTCTTGCTTCCAAAACACACACCAAAGAATTAAGTTCCATTTTTTTGCCACATCTGCCTTTCCTGTATTGCACCTTTTGTTTTTGTCGTTGTTGCATTTTCTCTCTTAAATTATAAGCTCTGTGAAACGTAGGGTTCATGGAAAGTGTTCTGTTTGCAAAGTGCTTTGTAAACTTAAGCCACTACAAGTTACAAGTTACCCATGGTAAACTCCAAACTGAAGGTTTTGGGTTAGGGTTTTTCTTGGTCAAACCACTCCAGTACTTTTTCAGTATGTGGACTTTATTTGCTCTTATTTACCATGTATATCTTGTATGAAGTGGCTGCTTCTTCTTCAGAAGAGGAAATACTTAAAACTAGTGTCTGTAACTGTGGCTGAATTTCTCCCAAGTAGTCTGCAGAATTTGGGTACACAAGCAGATGTTTCATGACCTTCATTGGTCAACCTGCCTGTAGTTTTACCTGGAAATTCCCTGGACACCTCAAACACTCTCTTCCTTGCTTTCTTTTAAATATATACATATTTTTTTTTTTCATGCTATAAATATTTGTGGGATTCAGTGCAATAGTTGAGACTGTTTCCATGCTTATTTCAGTTCTGTGGTGTTCCTGCACTGCCTCTTAGTTTCTGTCTCCTGCAAAAAGAAAAGCTGCAGTGGCTCTGCAGCGTTCATGGAGGGCTGCAGCATAAGTGCAAGTAGATCTAGTGTTTGTAGTTGATAGAACATGACTCTCTTAGACAGATTCGTTACAAATTAAATGACAGGGTTCAGACATAGTTTACCCCACAGAAATGTGAATTGTTGGATATTAACAAAAACTGTTTTTACTGTCCTGATGTTTGACATTACAGCCCCTATTATGCCCCTCTGGCAGTGTAAAATCTCAAAAAGATATAATTTGCTTCTGTTAAGGGGCTGCATATCTTGACAGAGCTTATAGGTCTTAATGCAAATGAGAGCTGTCTTTGTTTCCAGCATGAATTGTTCTGAAAAAATGGCCTCTTTCATCAAACTTCCTCATGTTTCTTGCTGGAAAGTGGATCTCAAAAACTTGATTTCTTCATAACCTAATAGATTTAAGTATAGGACTGATCAGACACTTGTCTATACCTTGCACTGTGAAACATGGCTTTTAATAGTCCCTTAACAAACCAATTGCACTTGTACTGCAGTAAYGAATCTGAAATGCTTATGATATGTGTGTCTGTTCAACAAAAATCTATATAGGTAACTCCTTACTGAAGCAGTTCCACAGAAGATACAACCCACTGGTCACAGGAGCAGCTATTTGTGTCTGTCTCCATCAGCAGTTAGGTCTATACAGTGGAATCATTCAAAGATGGAAGATGAGCATTCCCTGCGTTATTGTTATATATAACATAATATTATGTTATATACATATAATATGTATAATATAGCATAACATATTACATAAATGAGAATAGATTTTTTGTTGTTGTTTTCAAAATGTCATTAAAATCTTCCCTTCTGTTTCCGGACAGCTTTTTTTGGAGCTCAGATGAATGCGTTTATTCATGTCATTATGTACATGTATTATGGATTAGCTGCCTGTGGCCCTAAATTTCAGAAATACCTGTGGTGGAAACGATACTTGACCATATTACAATTGGTAAGTAGAACTTTTTTCTCTCTTTATTTTGGAGATTATTGCCTCTGAGCAGATTTGTATCAACATAACTCTGAAACTTTACAGAAACGCTTAGCTATCTGATTTTAAAAAAAGTTCTAAAAATCTTATTACAGCTCATGAGTATTGTAAAATCTTAAAAGATTTTATTTTCACAAATAAAATACTGTTATTTAGTGGCCCAACCAGAAATAATTATTACACTGGAAGAGTGCTAAAAAGGTAGCACTAGGCACCTCAACCTCAGCTTGGCACCAACCTTCCCCCACTCCCACACATGCCATGCAGCCAGTTACCACAAGGCAGTGATGCTGCATCGATTACCTGGTAAAGAAAAGCTTAGGTACAGTGAATGAGTCCCTGTCTGCTCCTGTTTGTTTAATTTTGTCTTTTTATTTCTTTTCTTTTTCCCCTAATATTCAAAATCTATTTTTAAGACTAATATAGCAGCCCTGGAGATAGAAACATTTATCTTATTTATCAGAAAAGATGCAACACAGATAAGACTTGTGCAGGTCTTCTGATATGCTGATTGTTTCAACTGCGAATTTCAGAGACCCATTCAAAAAGGCAAAGAAAATCCAGATCTCTTAATGTTGCCTCATTTTCCTGTTTTTGAAAACTGGTTCCAGGGGCTGGCAGGGAGTGGATCTGCACGATGCAGCCTTTGTGTGCATGTGGGATCTGGCAGCCAGTGGCAGCACCCGCTCCCCACCCAAGTCCTAGCAGTTTTTATACCCTGCTGCATTGGCAAACCCTGGTGCAGTCAGACTTCTAGAATGTATTAAAACTGTTTTAATTCTGTGTTTCCTGTCTTTCAGGTGCAGTTCCATGTGACTATTGGCCACACAGCCTTGTCTATTTATATTGATTGTCCCTTCCCTAAATGGATGCACTGGGGTGTAATTTTCTATGCTGTCACCTTCATTTTCCTGTTTGGTAACTTCTACTATCGGACATACAAGCTGCCCAAGGAACCTGTAAAGAACGGCAAAATAGCAAATGGTGCTGTTGCAAATGGAGTAAGCAAAGCAGAAAATAATCCAGTGGTGGAAAATGGAAAAAAGCAGAAAAAGGGAAAAGCAAAAGGAGAGTAACTTGATCCAGGCCTTAACCATTGCTGGCAGTGAGGAACCTCCAGTTTGGTTTATAAAAGGAAAAAAAAAAACAAAAACAAAAAACGCTATCTATCTGTACCAATTAACCTTAGGTCACTGAAGAGCTAGAACACAGATATTTTCATTATTTATGAAGATTGTTTTAACAACACTTAAAGTTGAATTTCTATTGTAATTATGTAATTATCATGCATATGGTCTCTGTGTAAATTTGTAGACTGCTGGTGTTGGTGAATGTAAGGAAGAATTGCAGTGAATTCCGTGTTTAGCAGTCCCAAAGTTCATGCTACCGTTGATACAACCACTTTTGTGGACACTCACGTTGCGGGTGGGGGCGGGAAGGAAATAGTCTTTGAATATCTGTGTGTTCTTTTGTTTTCCAAAAAAAAAAAAAACCAAAAAAGATTAAATTTCAAAAGATGACGTATTATCTAATGAGAATGCACAGCTTTTCTTGTCCTCCTGGGGGAGTATCTTCAGACCCAATTATGTTTATGTGCTGTCGGAGCAGTGTTTGACTTTTCAGACATTACTTGATTTAATTTAATGTCTGTTACGGTTTTTCTTGTTGTGTGGAAATATACCTACCTCTTCATCTGCTGAAAAGAATATTGAGCATTAAATAACTGATTTCTGAAATATGGAGTCCTCTAATATGAATGTCCGTTAACACTAATTCAGGAGAAATTTTGATTTCTTTTGTGAGTATAGGGTTTTTTTTTCTTAGTTTTGTTCAGGGTTTCCTTTTTTTTTTTTCAATATAAAATTAAATTTTGGAGTACTATTTTTCATATAGCTAATGAAGAAAACATTTAAGAATGTATGAATATGAAATAATACACTGTCTGAAGCAAGCAATTAAAATAGGTCTGTTCCATGTGGTCTGTGACCTACATTAAAACTGTGGTGCTGACTGATAGTGAAAATGGTAAAATGATATCATGGATGGAGAGAGAGGAATAATACATAATTCCCTTTGGAAATCCTGTGTGCTTGGGGTAGTTAATGCTACCTGCAGGACGGACACTTTCTATTGGGGGAGAGTATTCAGGAATAAAGTACTGTATATAAAATGCTGAAAATGCTGTTATGGCTCCATATGCCCATCAATACTCTATGCATTAGACAATTACAGGCAAAAATATCAGTAGTAGTCAGCATGTGAATGCCAGAGATGGGCTTCTAAAACTCAGTTCCCAAAGCAATTTTTTTAACCTAACTGACAAAATGATTTGACTCATCATTTTTTTCTGGCAAAATGTACAGTAAGAAGAAGTCTCTTGTAGACTGTTTTTCATCTCACTTGATACATTACTGGACTTACTACTCTTTTTCTGAGGAAAATATAAAAGTTGCTTCCCTTCCATATAACATGGTTGCTGTGAGAGAGAGAGAGAGAGGTTCAAAGCTGCCCTGCATGTGATGGTAAGAGGAATGGAATTAGAGTGGTGGAATTAGAATCCATATCCTGAACTCCCTGCTTCCTTTCCCACCTCTGCAAGGGCTGCTCTGTGGCTGTCTGAATGCTTTGTCTTTACAGCTGCAGTCAAAAATATATTCACTGTTAGTGTCACACTGGTGTCAGGCAAATGACACTTCCTGCAGGAAAAGGAATGGAGCTTTAGGTATAAAGGGTCTGGCACAATTACGACTTCTTGCATCTCAGTTGTCTGTTGGCCTGTTATTTATAACATGCAAGCAAGTCAAGATATTTGTCTTAGGTTTGTCTCTTGTCATGGTAATGAAAACTCTATCTAAACCCAAAATATAGGTCTTAGGAGGAAAAGCTTTGGATATAGCCCATACCCAGAAACAATTACCCTGCTGGATTGATTAGCCTGGAAGGTAGGTCATCAGCAATAAACCCCAGCGTAGATTTTTGTGGCAGAGCATGGGATGGCGAGGGCCTGTCTCTGCTGAATGGTAATGCATGTGACCATTGATTTTCCTGTTTACTTTGCCGTGTGGTTCTCCCAGTGCTGGTACTGATGCTCTCTGCAGCCGTGTAGCTGTGTGTCCATGTAGGTGGCACGGAGAAGAGGGAACTGCCTCCTTCTTGGACAAATGCCCTTGCCACAGATGGAGCAAATTGCCACAGAGCGAGCGGAGAGCAGATTGCAGCGCATCTGCTGCCCCGAGGTAACGCTGGTGTGAACACTCTCACTCCACTCTACATTCCAGGTGGCTTTCCTCACGGCCACTAAAGGGCAGCTCTGTGGGGTGTGGGCAGCTGTCTCGCTGTAAATCTGCCCCCTTCCTTGGTTTGTGCTGAATTGCTTGTGTGCTCTGTCTTTCTGTAAGCCAGATCAGATAAACTGGTAGMGTTAACAAGATCTAGCTCTGCAAGGACACGCTCAGAGGTATTTCAGTGCAGGTTCAGTTAGCTTCGCTCYGCCTTGTGAAATAAGAATCGTATCTTGCATGTTGGTGAATATTTACAAAAAAAAAATGGAAGGTCCCATCTTCCCTCCTCTCAGCATGCATAGAAAATGCTTAAAGTGGATAACAGCTTGAACCTCATTGACAGAACTTCGGTAGCGTCCTACCCTCACATTCTGCGTCATTTGGTACCTTTTAGAAAAAATATATATATATTTTGTGAGGGTGTATGCATAGATACCAGTTATGTTGTCTGGATCTGTGGATAAAACCTGTCCAGGATATTGGTACACAGTTTCATGGGGAGGAAAAAGATCACTTATTCATGGAATGCTGCTTTTTTGAGACCATCTTCTGCTGTATGGCTTTCATGGATCTATTTCTCATATGTTTGTTTGTTTATGTGACTTGAGTCCTGTTTTGAGCTTGAATATAATGGCCTTATTAAATGTGCATTTTTGCAGGCATGGTCATGACCAGAATACTTCTGTTTCAGACACTATGCAATTAGACTTGCAATATACAGGGCTGAAAATGCACAGCTGCTGCTTTTCCATAATTTGAGGCAGTGATACATGTGTGGGATCCTGCCAGATTCATTAACGTCATGGTGTAATCCTAGGTACCTCCGATACCTCCGAATTCGGCTATAAAAGTAATAGAGTGTAGAGTTTACAGAACTGAAATTTAAATTATAGAAACTACTTTACATGTTAAACATTTTCTGCTATTCAGCTACGTGTTTCTGGTTTATTTAGAAGTAAAATTCAAACCCTTTGGATTTTTTTTTTTTTGGTCAATGAAAGGATTGTGAGCAGTTCTGAAACTCTTTGACCAGACTTATATAATGAACTATCTGATGCCATATAAGTGATACCTTCTCATTTAGCCTCATCTCTAACTGTGTGTGTTAGTTGCTGCTGGGTTCTTTTAGCAGTTTGCTCAGTGTAAGAACTATCTCCCTACATAAATACACATCTATATTTGGGTTCTTAAACAGATTCTTTCAGTGTGTGAAGTAAATTCGGTTTCTTAAATGTGAAGTTGGCGGGAGCTAATGGTGTTCCTGTAGCTTGAGCAGTAAAATGAAGACATTTTCACTGCTCCATAGACCCAGTACCAGTCTTACAGACATGCATGTTATTTATCAGTCATTTTACACMTAGGGAGATGGAAACGTTTTCCATCAGAGTCATTTTTCCTAGTGTAATACGTGTTTTGAGGCTTCAGTTGCAGATGTAGGGGAGGGAGGGAAGGGAAGGCTCTTCGTGCAGGGTAGAGGAATGATGCCGTCTTACAGCAGGGATCATTTCTGTAAGCAACAGGAGCAATTTGTTCCACGTGAGTCCTTAGCGGTCACTGCAATCGAGTTCTCCATGTAAGAGAACGCTTCTTTAATTAAGAAAAAGAAAAAAGAACAAACAAAAAAAAAGATGTTTCAGTGTTGGTTCAAAAGCGTGGCCTATCTCATTACAGAGCATTGCTGCTGCTGGCTGTGAGGGCAGGTATCACCTTCACATTCTGGTTAGGCTGGTCCCTTAACTACTTCCATCTCAAGATCAGGAGGAAAAGATAAAAATAAAAAATAAATAAAAAAATAAAAAATGCTGTGTGTTTTCCTCAGGTTCAGCTCAGACTGCGGGTCTGCAGGGAGAGCATTTGGGCCTCCCCAGGTGCAGAGGGGGCAGGTGGGAAAGGACTCAGTCTCACTAGGTGAGACTGAAGGGTCCCATTCCTAAAATGAGCCCAAGCACGTTACTTTCTAAAATTTCAAACTGAGTAAGATTGCTTTGGGAGCATAAAGATAAACCTGACATTAAGTCAGTGTGGGTTCAGACTCCTAATGCTTAAATAGGAATTTAAAATTAAAACTGTTTCTGTTAGAGCTGAAGAGAGTGAGGAATTTGTTGGGTATGTGGACAGTGTATCCGTCCGTGTGGAAAGCACTTACTGTGATAACTCGGCTTTGAGAAAACAGCAAGACACCTTTGCAACATCTGACTGTGTTGCAGTCTGATGAGTTGGCCTCTCCRCTAACTTACATGGTTAGAGCTCCATGGAAATCAGTGGGGTGGCTCCCATTTACATCAGCAGAGTGTATTTAATCTAAAAGGATAGGAAAAAATACTTGCTTTTTGCTAATGTCCCATCATGATAAGGGAAATGTATAGTTCAGGATGCTGCTTTTGCATAAGGTGTTCATGCATTTGTGAACAATAAAATAAATTTTACTTTTTTCATGCTGTTTGAGTTTGGTTTTGTGCATTTGATAACGTGTTTGTGTCCCATCTGGCTTTGGAGTACTCGCTTATTTTATAGCATTGCTGAGGCGGTCTTGGTGCTATGTGTCATAGTGCACAAAAGCTYGTAGGGAAAGTCCTTCTGGTACCTCCCTCTGTTTTAGGGTTGGGGAACATTCCGGTTTTGATTTTTTGCGTCGAGATATTCTAGAGGCTTTCAGTCATTCTTAAGCAACTGACTAGAAATCTAGTGTCTGCTTGGCCAAAATGCAGGTTTCCAGGGACTCATTTTAGCTCTACAGTMCGTATGTCACCATGAAGTTTGTCCCGAGTGTCATCCTAAGGCTAGCAGAAACGGGAGGCATGTGATAGCGCTGGCGTTTACTGCTCCCGTGTGCAACACAGCCCTGCAACTTTGTGTGCAGGAGGGCAAGGGAAGCTTCAGCCAAGTGAAAAGCGGGTGCAATACCTGAATATATGGGTCTAGCTAAAAAGATCAATCAATCTTTGCAATCAATCTKTTATAAGAGGGTGGTGGTAAGAGAACCTGCGTGCTCTATTTGAGGCTCAAGATACTACTGCCTTGGGAGCGTGAGAAACGAGCAGGCCCCGTGGCTCAGTTTTTGTTGGGCCCTGGTCATTCGTGGTGATGTTTGGGGAGAGGCTCCAGCCTCCTGGCGGGCGGTG